CCCTTCCACCTCTGCCTCCCAAAGTGCTGGGATTACAGGCGTAAGCCACCACACCCAGCTGAGACTTTTTTTTTTTTTTTTTTTTTTTTTTTGAGACAGAGACTCCCTCTGTCTTCCAAGCTGGAATGCAGTGGCACAGTTAATGGCTCACTACAGCCTCGACCTCCTAGGCTCAAGCGATCCTCCCGCCTCAGCCTCATAAGGTGCTGGGACTACAGGAATACAACACTAGGCCTGGTTAATTTTTTGTTTTTTGTAGAGATGGGGTCTTGCCGTGTTGCCCAGGCTAGTCTCAAAACTCCTGAGCTCAAGCAGTCCTCCTACCTCAGCCTCTCAAAGTACTAAAAATTAAAAGAATGAGCCATTGTACTCAGCTTTAGTTTTGTTTTTGTTTTTGTTTAATTTTAGCTATGTAGTATATGTGACAATCTTTCTAAAGTCTACCAGTCTCATCTGTCAGCACTGCTACCTTAAATCATGTATACAGCATTTCCCTCATGGAATTTTTCCTTTTTAATATGAAAAAAAACTGGGGAGCAATCTGAATGTTCCATCCAAGGAGAATGGCACATCTAGTCAATGGAATATTATGCAGACATTAGAAATAATTTGATGTCCTTGGACTCAACAGTTCCATTTTTAGGACTTTTATACTATAGGAATATAATACACAAAGATATGTGTGTAACAATGTTCACTGCAATGTTGTTTGTAATAGTGAAAAGTTGTGGCAGAGAAAATGTCCATCAGTAAGGAACTATGAGTCTAAAATAAGAAGATGTATAGGTCTTACATGGAAAAATGTCTCCATATTTACTGTGTGCCAGACTATCATGTGATCTATTTTTGTTTTTTAAAAATAGCTTATTGAAGAATGGTTATATATAGAAAAAGAGCTGTTAACAGGATTTATCAATAGGATTTCAGTGAAAGGGGTCCCAAAGAATAATTTAAGTTTGTATCTTATTTCTAAGTTTGTATTTTTTAAATTTAATTTTTTTGGATAACTTTGGTATTTTTTGTATTTTTTACAATAAGCAATTATTATTTTTGTAACTAAAGTTTATAGCTAGGCATGGTGGTGTGATCCTATAGTCCCAAATACTTTGGAAGCTGATGTAGGTGAAGCACTTGAGCCCATGAGTTGTAGGCCAGCCTAAGCAACATAGTGAGACCTTGTATCTTAAAAATAATAATAATAATAATTGTATAGCACTTATAAGGGGTTTTAGCAGCATGGGAAGTACTTTTATTATAATGTGAAGTGCAAAAAGCCAGATATAAAGTTTACATATAGTATTTCTTTTTTTTTTTTTTTTTTTGAGACAGAGTGTTGCTCTGTCGCTAGGTGCAGTGGCGATCTTGGCTCACTGCAATCTCCGCCTCCCAGGTTCAAGCAATTCTCCTGCCTTAGCCTCCCGAGTAGCTGGGACTACAGGCACGTGCCACCAGGCCCAGATAATTTTTGCATTTTAGTAGAGATAGGGTTTCGCTGTGTTGGCCAGGATGGTCTCGATCTTTTGACCTCATGATCAGCCCACCTTGGCCTCCCAAAGTGCTGGGATTACAGGCCTGAGCCACTG